ATAATATTTAATGTTACTCTAGTAAGTAATTTATAGCATTTAGGAGAAAAAAGCTCAAGTGAGAAAAAATGAAATATGCACGGCTATATAAAAGAATATAGCACGTTACAAACAAGGGAAAATACTCACTCTTGCTAAATTTCTAATTCAATGCCATTTACTTCCCTTGAAATTAACTCTTAAAGCCAACATGCCGAATTTCAAATCGATATTTTCCAAAAATCACCATAACTATTCTTACATTGTGTGTAATATTTAGAAACTATAGACAACATTCTTTAATTATGTTAATAAATGATCATTTTCGTAGAAGAACGGCCAAAATGGTGCCGATTTCCATAACAATTAATATATCCTCCGCACGATCTAAGATCATATGTTATTCAAAACCCCGTTAACAAGATAAAAAGAAGGAACAAACAATTCAAATTCTTCAGTTCAACTAACTGTAAAAACATCTACACCTAGAGATCAAGGGGGCAAATTTTTGAATAAAATCTCGGTGACTTATGATTTGAAGCAAAGCAGTCTATACTAATTCTTCCAAACTGTTTTTCAATCAAAGCAAAACTTTCTAGTTATATGTATACCCCAGTCATCATTTATTTATTACAATTGTTGACAGATAATCTGCTTATTTATCAAGGGAACGAGGTATCCAATCTATTTGAAAATTGAGTTACATAGAAATAATACAAAAATATCTAATGAAATATTTTGTAATTCTTATTTCATGGAACCTTTAGTGGCTATTAAAACACCCTGATTATTTGAAAACCATTTTACTCGCTGATTTATTACCACATGCGTATGTGATCGAAGTTTTCCTCCGAAAATATAGATATTGTTATTAAAATATTGATATAATAAATATAAGCGGGAAATTTGCCGCCTTCTTTCTCTTTCTTCCATTTAAGAGCCTTATTCTAAGCTCTGGTGATTTTCGCTCCATCATCTTCATCACTTGCAACTGGATTGCTGACAATTCCTGACCGTGTCCCAGCTTGCAGTATTTGTGTCTGCTTTTCCTATATATATGTTCCGTTCTTTTACTAAGTTGATAACATCTTCTTACTGTTCAAAACTAAACTGATATTTACCATTTGTGTTCCCCCACTAAACCTGCTAAACCTCGACAACACCTTCTATATTTATATAACATAAAAAAATTAAAATGACAAAGTTTGAACCCCCAGAGTGACCTTGACCTTAGTCGTAGAAACCCGAGTCTTGTTTGCGACACACCATACATCTATGGTTATTTAATATTTGAAAGAAAACTTAAAATCCTTTCACGCATACTGAAGTTTCAGAGCAGACAGGACCACCACCTTCTATATTCATATAACATAAAAATGACAGTTTGAACCTCCACAGTGACCTTAGTGGTAAAAACCCGAGTCTTGTTCACGACACACCATACATCTATGGTTGTTTCATATGTGAAAGAAAAATTACAATCCTTCAATGCATAGTAAAGTTTCAGAGCGGACACGACCATCACCTTATTTATATAACACAAAAAATGACAAAGTTTGAACCCACAGTGACCTTGACGTCAGTCGTAGAAACCCCGAGTCTTGTTTGAGGCACACCATACATCTATGGTTATGTCATATATGAATGAAAAATGAAATTCTTTTCATGCATATTGAAGTTTCAGAGCGGACACGACCACCACTGTCTATATGTTTGAAACGGGACGGACTGGCGGACGGACATATGGACGGTTAGATTTAAATATGCCACCCTTCGAGGGGCATAAAAAGTTATTACATGCTTTTCGGTGGTTTAAAGTAATATATAAGTGAAATATAAAACTGATATTTTCACTGTTTGAAACATTGAAATTACCACTTTGATAATTTTACTGTTTTGACCCTTTCGTTGTTTCAGTGAAATACCATCATGCACAGTACTGTAAACCAACTTAATGACGTGACGTCTTAAATGACGTCACATCGTATTATTATTTGGCGTGCTTTTAATTTAGCATGAGGTTAGAACGTCTGTTTAAACGTTACTTTGCAGATAAAAAGAAAATTTGTTTAGTTTAGTGCAAGATCGAAATATATTTCACCTCGTGAACACCAAAAGTTCACTCGTGGCTTTACCATAATGATGCAAGAATTGCGAAGATTAAATTATTTAACTACATCAGTACAGTTCAGAAACTGCGACGAGCGACGATGACCTGCTTTGAACACTTTTAGAAAGAGTTCAAGCAAATACATTTCAACTCTACCATCTATGCTGTTGTTGTCACAAAGAGTCTTTCTGTTAATTATAAATTTGAATGCAGTATAATACCTTTAATTGCTCTTTTTTCACATTGATACTCTAAATATCATACTTTTTGCAATATAAATATACAAAAATAACAGTTTTTATGTTGTAAATTTATTAAAATAATGCCCCATTGGGACAGTCTATATGATCAAATATTTACAAGCAATGTTTCTCTACAATTTGATAGATGATAAAACAAGATTGTATAAAGATGATAATACCTGATTAAAGCAGTTTGCTCATATATTACAGTATTTTACCAGAATAGCTCTTGATTTATTAATATTTATAAAAAAGGATGATCTTATACACATAATATTTTCAACTAGATAGGTCAAATTACCACTAGAAACCTTTTAAAATGATTATAGGCTTCCAGCAAAAAATGGTGTCGCTATCATTCTATGAGACTTCAATTTTAAGCTAGCTACAATGGTGCAAATGTATACTAATATGGCCAGTCAAACAAAATGGGCCTCATATATTTTTAAAATTTTATCTCTTAAAAAAACAACATTTAACAAATAAAACATGGCCTTGAGGGCAATATGCAAGTTTACGGACTGGTTGGTCAGACTGAGGAAGGTATATGGCCCGAAGCGCAGCTGAGGGACATATACCTTCCGAGGTCTGACCAACCAGTCCGTAAACTTGCATTTTGCCCGAAAGGCCATGTTTTATTTGTTATATTATACCGAATCTAAATCATTTCATCCCTTTTGTTGCTGACATTTTTACTATAATTTGCTTTCAAATAATAATTCATTTGTTCAGTGTGTGAAATATTTCAAACCCTAGTCGGAATTATTATTATAATTTTTAAAGCGGATACAGCAAAAAAAAATCATGCTCTTCTTTTGTTATTCAATTTTTAAAAAATCAAATTAAACAGGCAGACAACGAACTTTAAGATTTAATATGACGTCATCCAGTCCATATAAGAATTATGGACCGCCCCCGGTCTGTATGCGGTTTATGGACCGGCTGACGTCATATTAAATATAGAAGGGCGTATGCAAATGAGGTATAATATTAATTAATATAATGTGCGAGGTATTTAGAATTTTCAAGAAGTAAACATCTGTGAGCTAACTGCTTTAAAATATAGTATAACCTATATAATTTATTAACTTCACTAGAATATAACAAATATTTAACATTTTTGCTATTATGATAAAGTAGCAAATTACATATTCAAATTATTCATATACACTTGTTTTTGAAAACTATAGGAATCACATACAATTTGATCTTTTTTTATTTCTCATTCTTTGTATCATTAACAATAACTACAAAACAAAAACAAATTTCTCTTAACAAATTTTAACATTGAAAAGCCCATTATGCCTCAGGAATGCTTTTAATTTCATTTCTCAGAAGCTTTTGTTTATGATGTACTATCATTATTTCTGAAAAGTAACTCATTGGCCAATTACCTGAATATTCTATATCTTCTGTTGTTTTTTGGTAATTAGTAAAGTTATAGTGAATTAGTTTTTGTATGAAAGTCAACATACTAATTCTTTACATTTTGCTACATTTATGACAAATTATTTCACATTTAGTGCTAATTTATTTCAGTAAAAAGCATCTAACATGCTTTAAAACAGTTATCTATCCATTATAAATTTCATGTTAGCCACTTCTAAACAAGTAAAAATTGATTTCTCAGGCATAATGTGCCTTTAATTGAATAATATCATGAAACATTGAGTACCCTCAATTGTTCAACATGAATCAGATTTCAAAATTATAAACAAAATCTATGTAGATCTATCCAGAAATTTTGATTAAACAGTATTCAATCTGCTGGAACCGAAACTAGCATTTGTCACCAGTATAGAGCCAAGCCAGCCTGTACTTTCCTGTAGTCTGACTGTATATACTGTTAGTTGCTCAATTTTTGTATTCTAATTCCTGAAATCGCTTAAACTTTGAATGATATTAAACTGATTCAAAAAGAATGCCATAGCAAACACGTACATTACAGAAATTCAGCATGTTCATAGTTAAGAGAACAAGTACTTTTCAGAAACTAAAGTGACCAATTTTCCAGCTTTATTGGTAGAGGAAGACCTCAGTTTCCCTTCCGTGTATTATTTCATGCACAAACAAGCACCTACTATAAGTAGAACAACCAATGTTCTGTAAGCTAACTGAACAGCTTCTTCACATGGAAAAATCCATAGTCTGTGTCAGGATTCGAGTCTACAGTGATGAGTTGCAATTGGTTTAAAATCAAATAATTTCCACTTAACCACTCAGCCCATGGACTCCACTAAGTCAAAATATCTCCTTTATCAATTTGAAAATCATTTTTTCAAACTGCACTGTAAATTCAATAACAACTAGCCCCCATCTGTTACATCTAGTTATTATTCTTCATTATCATTTAATATTGTGGTCCTCTAGATTATATAATGATAATAATTATAATAATATGTTCTCTATTGTAATAAAATAAATAGTCCAATAAATAATATATCACAAATAACATTACATAAAATTTAACAAAAATAAGAAATGGCAAGGAAGAAAAGTTAACATTTTATGTTAAAAGGAAGTGATAGTGACCTTGTATTTTAGTTGCCTGCATTTTAAACCCAATGACAAGAGTCCCATGGGGATCATTTATGTCATGAGACCTGATTTTTCTATGAAAATGAGGGTTGTCTGTGAAAAATACTAAAATTATTAATATCAACTCTTCAGAAAGTCTGTCATTTCTTTATTAAAACATGTTTTATGTCTTTTATCAGAGTAACATAAAGTGTATTAAGCTTCATTCAAATTATAACATGGTACTGCTTTTATCAAACAGTCTTCTTACTATATAGTTATGTTCAATCTAACAAAGCTATTTCCCTCTATTTTCCATTAAACACATAACTTTTAATAAACACAATATTATCATAAAGCCTACTATTAAACCTGAGATTTTCATAAGACCAAAGTTTCGTGAAATCAATGTTTTGGACTACAGGACTAATTGGCAAAATTTAACATTCTACAATTATTACTATAAGTTTGATTAAATTTATATTGTAGATATTCTGCAAAGGTTTCTTTTTATTGTGAAAATCTGAAATTTGCAAAAAAATAGCAAAATTTAAATCTATGACAAAAATGTGTGCTTTTACAGTATCAAATGTGATTCAAATTAGCAACATACATTTGACACAATATATTTGTACAAATAAATGTTGATATCTCATCGATAAGTCCATTGAAAATTTTTGACACAGTTAACGGCTTGATATTTGAATATACAATTCTATTGAATACACATATCAGCATACAGACTACACAAATAGACTACACGTATGTATTTATATGTATGAAAAATTGATATATGAAAGAATAAAATTCAAGATTTTCACTCACAACATTCATTATCACAGACTTGTGTGCAAATTTTCTTCGGTTTTTGTAACAACCAAACTTTAGACATAAATAGAGAATAATTAATAATGTATTATGTCACTGGTAAGCAGTTTCATACAATTCATTCATGTGTATTTATTTTAAGAGAAATCGAAATCACAAAAAAATAAATAAACAAATAATTAAAACTTATCAAAATGTTCAATTTTTCAAGGCAAGAAAATGTACTTTTTAGTTAACATGACCAAATTGTAAGCCTGATAATTTGAGAATCTAAAATGGATAGTGGCTGCCTAAACAAACATTGCAATTGTGATAATGGGATGTTAAATTAACAATTTTTTAAAATTGTTTTTTGTAAAAAAGGCCTAACAATTTCTTTTTATAACATACATGCTCAGGTTCGATACACGGTCTAATGCAATTGATGATAATATAGTAGATAAAGCCCTATCTGATGAAAGAACACTTGGACAATAACAAAATGTTGCTGAAAACAAAACATTATTTGAACACTGAACACAAAAATCTTAATTCTAGTGTATGAAATGTACACCTTCAGGTTTGTAACATTTATTAAAACCAGGTACATATATGTTAATATATGTACCTGTTAAAACCAAATGAAATTGACAACAATTCCTGAAGTATAATAAGTGTAATGGTCGCTTAGGACATAAAGTCATCAAAGTTTGATAACAAAGTGGGATTAAAAAATCTGCTCCAAAGAATTTAGGGAACCATGAGTCACAAAAAGCAGTGTTCTGATTGGCTCAGTTCAAAATCGTTTCCAGTAACAGTGACCAAGGATGTCTCAGATAGTCTTAATTGAATATGTATCATCTTGGAGATTGTGGCCAATCAGAAGTTGTGTTGTTATAAATGACATATATCTATAAACAAATAATTTAAGCGGAGCTTTGTTATTTGTCAAATTAAACATTACAAATTGGAATCACCAACAACATACTGATACACCATTATTAGGTCTTAAGATGAGATTTATGTAAAAACCCTTATCAAAAACAACCTATTTCATTGGTCAATTTTCAAATTTTAACATAAATTAAATATCCAATCAGTCATAGTTACAAGTGGTTTATGACTTTAAGATATAAAACTGTTGAACAATTATGCAGGAAATAACTCATTATTTTAGCACTTAACTGACTATATCACGGCTAATATACTAGATAATATACTAGAGAATACATGTAAACTCTAATAAATGGCTGGCATGTGTATTGAAATATTTATTGTTTGACATCACAAGCATCATATGTGTGTGTGCCTTTATCTTGGTGTCTTCTTTAATCCCTTCGGTGCAGGCTTCCCCCTTATTGTAGCTCCACCAGCTTTCCCTGAAAAAAAATAATGATACTTCATGTCTAATTTAAATAAAAATTGTTTGCCATACATACATAATCCTGGAAGGTTGCACTTATCATTACTTCCATCTAGCACCCATTAGCCATTTTAGTCATAGAATCAAATTTCATACTTTTTTAAGGTAAGTACAGGTATGAGATTTTTTAAAATGGGAGTTAAAAATATGTTCATCCCACCCTACATATATAAAAGTGGCATCATGCATCCTGTTCACAGCACAAGTAAGAGTCAAAATAAGTTTACATTTTACCATATTTGCTTCAAAACATATATTCTACTTTTAATGAATATTCATTAACCAACATGACATACAGGAAATTTCTGCAAATAGGCTTTGGACATGTTGGCTGCATCTGTTATACTCAGCTGATAAAAAGAGTTGGACAGTCTTTTTATATTTTATTCTAAACATTTCTTATTATCCATTTTTGGTCAAACATGATTAAAGAAGTCAATGTTTTGTAATACATGTATATCTCTAACTTTACTCCCATTGCCACCAAAAACATGAGGATACCGTCACTTTATGTTTGCATCGGCTAAAGCTATATATATCCTTTTTCTGCATTAGAAGAAATCTGAAAGTAAAATTACCTTGTGGTTTATTTAGTGCCAACAGACGTCTAGGATTTTGCTTACAGCCATCTTTTGCCATAAGATGGTTCTTTCAGCCATCTTCCCCTGAAATGTGGTTTTGATGACATAATGGACAATGGTTCATCCCTGATTTTGCAGCTGTAAAATAACAAAACATAGATACCCATTAGAAGATGTTTGATGCTAAATATCTCAGCTCTAGCTCTTAGGGATTTTTAAAAGAATTTTTTTTTAAATTTCTACTATATACAATAATTGCATTTCTAAGGCCTTTAATCAATCACATTACGAGAAAAATAGATTGCTTGTACCGTTACAAGCTTTCTCGGCCACGTGCTGCTCGTGTTCAGGTTTAGTTATGGCTTCAGTACATCGGTTACACTTGGCGTAGTTAGATTTGGCCTCACATTCTGTCAGCAAATGATCGGTGTAGCTGGCAATTTCCACAACCTGAAATTAATAATCATGTCAAAAAATGAAAAAAATGTTAACTCAAGATATCATGAATGCTAAGGACTTGAACATAACCTTAATTAATCAATGGAATAAGTTGTAGCCATGTAGTAAGAATGGGCTTTCAATCTAGTGATAAGGTTCATGCCCTACTATGGTCACAACCAGGTGCCCTCTTGAGACACCAGTCCTGGTTAGTTCAATTAAACAAGACTAAACAATGACTATCCCATAATCTACTAGACCTGTAGGTGATTAGCCTTTGCCACCAGTATAGAGCCAAGCCAGATTGTACCTCTATGTAGTCTGACTAGGTTCTATAATGTTGGTAGTATCACTTTTTGAATTTTATACTGAAATCCCTTAAACATTGAATGGAATGGTCCAAATTTAAAGCTGGTCAAATCCATTATACAAATTCAGCAGGTTAAGGGACATTATAAGTTACAAACACTTATTTCATAATGTACTTGAAGAAACATATTTATACTACTCATCTATAGCAAAACCTCTCGAGCTCTCTCTCCCTCTCTCTCTACTCAGCCTTAACTATTGGTCATATATAAAATAGTATATAAAGTAAAAACGCGTTTACATTTAACAAAATGAAGGACACAATAAATATACTTAATTAAAAGTTCTGAACCATACCCTTAATAGTTACTAGAACTCCGCGAGTCGGATGTGTCGCCTTATGAACAATATAGTTTAGGAGAAATGGCCAGGACAAAAATGAAATATGAAAATTAACAAAGGGCAATAACTCAAAAATAAGTAGTGCAGAGTTTCTTGTACACTGCACTTCTTTTTAATGAGATCTATCATCCTATGAAGTTTCAAGTCCATAGCTTTTATACTTTAGGAGAAATTGCTCGGACAAAAATAAAGTATGAAAATTAATTAAGGGCAATAACTCAAAAATTAAGAAGTGCAGAGTACCGGTTCTTAAGCATTGCACTTCGAGTCATTATAAGAAGCATGCACACCAAGTTTGAAGTCAATCCAACTTATAATGACTGACTTATGCTCCAGACAAGCTTAAGGGGAGGCCTACGCCGCTGAAGCCGACACCACTGACAAAAGTAACCCCTATATGTCGCCTTTTCAAGGTGACACAAGAGATTTCTGATTGAAAAAATTAACACTTCTGACAGCCACAAATACACTTATATTGGTGATACACAATATTTTCTAATAACATTTGTACAATGCCATAAGAAACTATGACTTTTTAAACATTGAAAATACTTGAAATGTTTACAAAACATAAATATCTGGTTTTGAATTGGTAATATAATTACATAGTAATGGAAAAATATTAATTACCTGTTTGCAATTGGCACAACGTTTCAACATTGGACAATTTTTCCAGTAATGCAGATCTAAACCTTCCTCTGTGAAACTAGAATTCTTCTCTCCACAAAATATACATATACTGAAATATAAACAGTTCATGCAATCTTCCCTATTTTGTGTGTGTGTGTTTTTTTTCCAATCATTATTGTTTGTTTATATCAAGACTGTAAAGATCACTTTGGTGGCATGGCTGAGTGGTTAACATGTCTAGCTTTTCTTAGACTAAGATTCAATATTCAAGTAATAATATACAAGTTATGTGCCAATAATGAATGATTTTACAGTATTTATCACTATATATCTACTGCGAGACTACGCAGTAAGGGCTGTTTTTGTATATTTTGACCATTTCTGGCTAATTTACATGGATTGTAAGTGTCATTTGCCATGTATGTTTAGATAATTTTCTTGGTTCAATTCACAATATTTTACTTTCAAATACATTTTTAAATACATTTTCAAAATTTTCATAAAAATTAGCATCATTCTGAAGGCATATTGCTTTAAGTCTAGTAGCATGTGACAGTAACTGGTGATCAGATAATTAACTGAAATCACATAATTATATTTATGAAAGCTACTTACTTGTCCATGTTATAAACTGATGTATCATCATCAGGGTCGGGCTTAGGTTTTGTCTTAGGAGCTGCTTTCCCTCCTTTCTGTAAAATTCATCATATTAACACTAATTCATTAATTTGTCACACAATTTTGAACAAATAAACCTACACTATTTCTTCCTCTATACAAAGTACAAATTTTAAACGATAGGCAAAATGTAATTCATGATCAAAAGCTATGTATAAAATAAATATGGACAAAAATGCTGATGTTCCGAATAAAAGTTAACGTCTACATATTACATAGCTTTGAAAATTTACTTAAATTTAATCAAGATTATTTCTTATCATTATAACTGATTTTAAACAATCAAAAATTATCTTAAAGTTAAAGTTAAATTCCTTTTGTTCTATTTTTTATCAAAACAAGTTTGTTTTTTTTAATACAACTTCAAATTATAACTACTCATACCTTAAGACCTTTTTTAGCGTCAGCTTTTAGTACATTTTCATCAACAGGCTGCAATATGACAAAATTACAAAATCAGACATATAAATGTATACAGTAAAGAGAAAGGTATGTCAATAGTGGGACATATAAATTTTTTAAATCAAACAGATATCAAGTGTAGATTATATACTAAATTTATAAAAATGAACTGACTAAAAAGTTACAGTCTGAACACAAATGTTGTGTAAGTGGTGACAAACAGACAGACGGACAGTGCAATTTTAATATGCCACCTTTAAAAAAAAAACATATTATGCCAGCTACTGGAGACCATTTTTCATGGACATGTATATAGTAGTACCACACTATCATAGCACTCAATCATGCTATATTTGTATAACCAAAAATCTCTTTCAAGATTCCACAAGCAACATAATTTTACTGCTTATAAATTTTTAGAAAATATTTTATTACAAATAGCTTTATACATTTTAATATTATTGACTTTAAAACCAAACATAACACTAAGAAAGCGGGTGGTGGCCTAGTGGTTAAGATGTCTACCTCACAACCTAGGGATCATTGGTTTGAGCCATACTTGGGTTCTAGGATGCGGACTCCAAAGTGATTTATATAAGTTGCAAGAACTTGTTTTGGAATCAAGCTTAAAAAAATATGTTTAAACTAACACTAAGAATAATCTGCATTATTTAAGATTGTAAACAATTTATAAAAGTGCAGTTCTGATTCGCTGATTTGCATTTGTGACACTAGTCCACAAAAAGATGTGTAGACCGTTAAAAGACATAAAAGATAGACATATAAATTATTCTAGCCAGTCACATACAATATGATGATTATACACATATGTTTCTATAACAAACTAGAAATGTGTCATCATGCCACGGATGCCCCCGCATGCAGCCAAAATTTCAAATGTTATAATACTTAGTTCCAAATTTGTTTGCACAAATTATTTTTTTCATTCTAAGTTCAAAGCCCTTAAAACTTTTCAATGTTAACACAAACCATTTTTATACAATGTTCAAGGCACTGAAATTATTCAGTCTTAACCATTTTTATACAATGTTCAAGGCACTGAAATTATTCAGTCTTAACCTTTTAAAAATAGCATATTGCATATTTGTAGCCAACATAATGGCTATATACATTTCCACAAAAGTATGAGTGCTGGAAGTGAAAGTTCAAAATTTTTCCAACATACAGGAAAGATAAGTTTGTCTAAAATCATTGAACCACGACCAAATTCAAACTTAAACTGCTTATTCCTAAGATGTATCTATATTATTTTCAAAGTGAAAGGGACATAACTCTGCCAAAAAATCATCGAACCATGACCAAATTCCAACTTGACCTGCGCATTCCTTTGACATATCCATATGTTAATTTTGAGTTGAATATGTAACACTGTTGGGTTGATAATGAACAGAAACTGTAAATTTCATATCATTTTCAAAGTGAAAGGAGCATTACTCTGCCAAAAATCATTGAACCATGACCAGATTCGAACTTGGTCTGCGCATTCCAAAAACATATCCATATGTCAAATTTGAGTTGAATGTGTAATATTGTTGGGGAGATAATAAACGGAAACTGAAAATTTCATATTATTTTTAAAGGGAAAGGGGCATAACTCTTCCAAAAATCATCGAACCATGACCAAATTTGAAATTGACCTGCGCATTCCTTTGACGTATAAATATGTCAAATTTGAGTTGAATGTTTAATACTGTTGGGGAGATAATAAACAGAAACTGAAAATTTCATATTATTTTCAAAGTAAAAGGGGCATAACTCTGCCAAAAATCATCGAACCATGACCAAATTTGAACTTGACCTGCGCATTCCTTTGACGTATCCATATGTCAAGTTTGAGTTGAATGTGTTGTACCATTGGGGAGTTAATGACCGGAAACTGAAAATTTCATATTATTTTCAAAGTAAAAGGGGCATAACTCTGCCAAAATTCATCGAACCATGACCAAATTTGAACTTGACCTGTATTTTCTCATGACATATCAATATGTCAAGTTTCAGTTGAATGTGTTGTACCGTTGGGGAGATAATGAACAGAAACTGAAAATTTCATATTATTTTCAAAGTAAAAGGGGCATAACTCTGCCAAAAATCATCGAACCATGACCAATTTCGAACTTGACCTGTATTTTCTCATGACATATCCATATGTCAATTTTGAATTGAATGTTTTGAACCGTTTGGGAGATAATGAACGGAAACTGAAAATTTCATATTATTTTCAATGTAAAAGGGGCATAACTCTGCCTAAAATCATTTAACCATGACCAATTTCGAACTTGACCTATATTTTCTCATGACATATCCATATGTCAAATTTGAGTTCAATATGTGCAAGGGTTATTAAGATAATGAACGGAAACTGATGATGACGGAAGGACGGAAGGACGGAATGACGGAATGACGGAATGACGGAACAGGGTAACACTATATGCCCCTGCCATTATATGGCGGGGGCATAAAAATGTGATAGATATAGAATACATAAAACACAAAATGACATCATATGTCTGTGCCTTAACAACATTTTTAAGGCCATATGTGTCACTTGTCAAAGATACTGATTCATTTGAACTATTTAGAGATTATAGATCTTTACATTACTGTATAAGTGGATATTTATGCATCACAAAAACTTTGCGAATGTCAAAAAGTGGACTTTTTGTGTGCGGAAATATTTGAGAAAATGATTTCTTGAATTTAATACTGTTTTTGTGATATCATTAATTAAGCAGGTGCCTGTTAAGAATTACGCTCCCTTCGCAGCTAACTATGCTGTTGTTGTGATTGTTCTATTCAGTTGTTTAATACCTTTATTATTTATATGAATATTTAATACATTGTTAATTTGATAAAGGACCTGATCACACATTTCATTTTCATATTTTGAAACATTTGAAATATTCTTTTGTTATATGAATAACCAATTGTATTATTAACACATAATTATATAGTTTCATTAAAACATTTGTGAATTTTTAGACCAAACTTAAACAGACAAGCAATGAGAATAATTTGCAATTCGCAAAATTAATATTTCAATGTCGCAAAATTAACCACTAGTACAGTATCCCATTAACAGATGAAAAACAACAAAAATTCTGTGTACTTTCTGATCATCCCTTGTACAGTTATAATTGGTGGGAGTTGACATGTCAATAAGAATGACATCATTTTCAATCTAAACCAATGAAAACTATTATGTAAAAATTTCTTGATCACATGGTCATAATTTGGATAGTACATTTGTCAATCAAAAAACTGTTCAAGCATATCTTAAATGTAGTTACTCATGTCATATAACAGTATATCCCAAAAGATTATAATGAAAGTGGGAGGTGACAATTGAAGAGTCACAGCTCGTAAATTTTAATAGAAAAAAACCCATGGTCAATGTTTTGATAGTCCAGCAGTCAATTCAATATACCTGCATAAGGCATTGTGTTTGAACAAAAAGTACTAGTATGTTTCAAGAATAGAACAAACATGGGTTTATTTATGTACTCTTACCTGTTCCTTTTTCATGTGTATAGTGTTTCCCTTCAGTGTCAAAGAAATTAATTTGTCTTGAATTATAAAAACTTTTATAAAAATTGCTAGTTGAATAGTTGAGCTATTTCAGTGGTGTCAAATTATTTTTAAACCCCCTCCCCCCCATACTAAAGGTCCTGGTTGAAATTGCATTAAATGCATTAGGACCCCCTATGGTCATGGCCACCATTACTAAAAATAGAAAAATGGTTTCTCAAAATGAGATCTTTTAAATCAAGCTTGGTATATATCGCAAGCTTATATGAAGATTCAACATAATTATTATGACATCTTCAAATCAATGATTAATTGTATTAAGAAGATATTTTCTAAAATTTTGGAAATCAAATTATCAGACTGTTTTGATTTTTTCTTTTATTATTTATTTTTAAATGAATCACCTGTGCAAGGAAGGGAAATGTTCTGCCATAAACTTTTCATTACTTTGTGCCCATCTTTAAACAATAAGAGAAGGAAATCGAGATAAGTAAATGACAGGGTAGAAGCAGCTACATAAAAATGTAGCAGGTATACTATAGTGAAAGCAACTTACCATGAACATTTATTGGAACCATTCAAGAATTGAATCTCCATCTCAAGATAAAATGCGCGTTGATCTGAACTGACAGTTAATATCTTCCTAGAAACGTTAGAACGCGGAAATAAATTTTTTTTCAAAGTTCAAGGGGCATAAGTCTGGCAAAATTTATCAGACCATAACCAAATTCAAACTTGACATGCATATTCATATGACATATCCATATAACAAATTTGAGTTGAATATGTACAACTGTCGAGGAGATAATCAACGGAAACTGAAAATTTCTGTTAGTTAAAGGGGCATAACTGTGGGAGAATTAGGGGCATAACTGTGGGAGAAATCATTGAACCACAACACAATTCAAACTTGAACTGCTTATTCCTATCATGCATCTTTATGTCAAATTTGAGTTGAATGTGTAATACCGTTGGGGAGATAATGAACGGAAACTGAAAATTTCATATTATTTTCAAAGTAAAAGGGGCATAACTCTGCCAAAAATCATCGAACCATGACCAATTTCGAACTTGACCTGTATTTTCTCATGACATATCCATATGCCAAGTTTGAGTTGAATGTGTTGTACCGTTGGGGAGATAATGGACGGAAACTGAAAATTTCATATTATTTTCAAAGTAAAAGGGACATAACTCTGCCAAAAATCATCGAACCATGACCAATTTCGAACTTGACCTGTATTTTCTCATGACATATCCATATGCCAAGTTTGAGTTGAATGTGTTGTACCGTTGGGGAGATAATGGACGGAAACTGAAAATTTCATATTATTTTCAAAGTAAAAGGGACATAACTCTGCCAAAAATCATCAAACCATGACCAATTTCGAACTTGACCTGTATTTTCTCATGACATATCCATATGCCAAGTTTGAGTTGAATGTGTTGTACCGTTGGGGAGATAATGGACGGAAACTGAAAATTTCATATTATTTTCAAAGTAAAAGGGACATAACTCTGCCAAAAATCATCGAACCATGACCAATTTCGAACTTGACCTGTATTTTCTCATGACATATCCATATGCCAAGTTTGAGTTGAATGTGTTGTACCGTTGGGGAGATAATGGACGGAAACTGAAAATTTCATATTATTTTCAAAGTAAAAGGGACATAACTCTGCCAAAAATCATCGAACCATGACCAATTTCGAACTTGACCTGTATTTTCTCATGACATATCCATATGCCAAGTTTGAGTTGAATGTGTTGTACCGTTGGGGAGATAATGGACGGAAACTGAAAATTTCATATTATTTTCAAAGTAAAAGGGACATAACTCTGCCAAAAATCATCGAACCATGACCAATTTCGAACTTGACCTGTATTTTCTCATGACATATCCATATGGCAAGTTTGAGTTCAATAAGTGCAACAGTTATTAAGATAATGAATGGAAACTGATGATGACGGAAGGACGGAAGGACGGAATGACGGAATGACGGAACTGGGTAACACTATATGCCCTTGCCATTATATGGGGGGGGGGGCATAAAAATTAGCTTTTCCTAACCTGGAATGATTTATTACTTTTTGTAAGTCTGAAAAACTCTATATAAAGCACATTATAATACTGCACGTTTGTAATGTCATTTTTCATTAAATAATCAGGTCGTTCATATAGATTTATATACACAGTTGCTTTCATTATGTCAAAACAATCGCATATTTTCTGTAAAGAAGAAAGTTTGCTGTGTTATAAAATCATTATGAAAATTCCTTACAGGTTATATGGCTGTATATAAACAATTGTTCGCAATATAACCTGCCCCTTGTGGCCCGGGTTACATCTGCAAACAATCAATTATATAGGACGATATAACCAGTCAGGAATCTTTATAACTAATAACATAAGTATATAACTGAATAATGTAACATACTGCTTTTCCTGAAGCCATATCTTTAAGTTGTTGTAATTGTCGTTGTAAACCTTCTATCTCTTGCTGTTTTTTACTCTCTTCCTCTGCCTTTTGTCGCTATAATATAAAACATTACAATATAATATAAAACATTACAATATAATATAAACATTATAATACATAGATCTTTTTTTTGGCTCATTTAAAAGTCGATATCTGGTCATATTCCCAATTGAAAATAGATAGTATATCATTTGCCCAATCAACAGGAAAAAATTCCCAAATGAAAGTTACAAATTAAAAATACTGAATAGCAAATTCTAAAAGCTTTGCAAATAAGAGCTTTTGGTGCTTAAGATCTAGACAGTGATTCTTAGCATTTATTTAATCACTGCAAAATTTCATTCATGCATTTTTTCCCAATTTTTTAACAAAACATCGCTGAAATTCCCAATTTCATGTGTAAGAGTTATGTTTCAAAAATCCTGGAAAAAAAAATACTGCTTAATATAATAAATAATATTACTATTGAAACTAAATATCAAAATAAGCATGCATTCTAAGCTCCTTTTTGCGCTAAAAAATTTAAGATGGTCATGTCCATTTTCTTTTGTTGTGGACAAAACCGATCATCATTGTTTTGGGAAAATTTCAAAATAAGTACTGACTGGACAGCAAACAGTGCAGACCATGTTCAGATAGCAAGGACAATTGTCAGTTGATCTTGGTCTGTACAGGCCTCAGGCGAAGATTCAGTCGTCACCATCAGACTTAATGGTTTGGTTAAAATAAACGGAGTTACAAATTCTGAAAATACTTACTTTTCAGGACTTTTATTTATTTCACTTGAAAAGAGGAACTTTATTAACTAGAAAGGATATTGAATTCTAATACTAAGTATACAACTGGCCTAAAGAAACTGAGTGGTTCCACACAGAATCCAAACCCATCCCAATCTTGCTCAGATTTAATGGAATTAATCATCTGTATACCTACATAACTTAAAAGGTCTCAAGGCTGACTTATAAATTTAGCAAGAAAACGGTGTTGTAAATATTTCCTTAGCATAATTACCTTAATATCAGATTTGCTTGGTTTTCCATCAATCTGGTCAAAATATTCAAACAACAATCTCCACATTGTATTCTTGCGTGTTTTCTCGTCATCTACAGGGAGATAATCCTTCACCGGTTGACCTGCTTCCTTGTATAATGCTATAAATAAATCAATATATAAATGTAATTCATGCACAAAAAATTGTAATTGGTTGACCTATTTCTTGTAAAATGCTATAAATTAATACATTTAAAAATGTAATTCATGTAATGTTCTCATTTGTTTGAACTGCAAGTTATATCTAGAATGTTCTAGCACTTTAGTAAACCTAGTCATTGGTTTCAATTGCAACTATAAATAAGCACATATAAAACATGAATTGTCTGTAGGACAGCACAGTTGACTATTTTCAGTGCTTGTAAATAAAGAAAAGAAGCTGGAAAATATAAGAATTAACAGAAGAAATTTTCATTCACAAAAATACAAATAATGTACATACTGTGTATTGGAAATTGACAAAAGAATATCATTAAGTTCATAATGGGCCTTATTTCATTCAAAATCCATGCCAGAATTATGGGTCTTGAAAAGTTATCTTGAATTGTATTTCATAAAGAATGAATCAAGTTTAAAGTGAATACAATAAGTAGTTTTTTGAAAGATTAATATTGCAAGCAAAACTTAGACCAAAAATTTTCTTTGTTCACAAAGACCTCCTATTATGCTCTGAAATAAGTGTGAAGCTACAAGCAAATTTCATTAGTAATTGATGAGATATTTTTTTGCACGCAAAACTCTGACGCTGACTCCTAGGTGTCCAATCGGAACATAAGGGCTATTATTCATAATAACCTCAGACTTGATACAGATTGAAAGTAGTTCTACCTTTAACTATTCTCTCAGCCACGAGTCTTACATCTGCAGACGTATGCTGTAACGCAACTACACAGAAATTCATGATGTTGTCCGTCGTCAGACCACTGAAATAATAACAGGTTAATATTTAAGTCACGCCAACAATGAAACCATTATAAGGTTGTTTTTTTTGTTTCTTTTGTTTTAATGCAAATTTCAACACACTTTTGGTCAAATCTTGGCAGTTTGTCCACCCTACTGGCTTTCCTATATAACTTTCTGGTAATTTACCAATTTCTCTGCAACAGACTAATTATCACACATAATTTCTAAATCAGCTGTGAATGACAAATGACAAAAAGAATCAATGTCTGAGATTAAATGTCAAGGATAAATATTGCCTCGCCAAAGGATTGAACCTTGGACCACTTGATTACCTATGTGATGTTAACTCTACTGAGATAAGCACACAAACTGGTTTCCTGTATTGCATTTGGAAATGCCTCTTGCAACAGTTCAGGCAATGATATCATGAACCCCGCGGGGCAAAGTCTTATCTATCAATCTACCACAGCGCCCCTGCTAATTAGCTTGTTTTAGCTCAGCGCCCCACGCCATTTTAACTTGCTTATTCTTGACTTTTCGCTTGATGGGGTCACAGGGCGAAAACAAGAATGGCACAAATCAGCCACCATAACATTTACCTTCTTGAGTCTTTAATGCCAAGTTGTTCATACAGTGCCTCAACAATCTCGGCTCTACTTTGAGCCAGCCTTGGCGCAGGGTTACCTTTCCATGCCTTCACACACTCGTGTGGAACTACCATTGTAGGCTAAAATAAAAAAGATGTTTGTTTTGCAATTAGGACCAAAAAATACATTAATAATTTTTTTCAATTCGGTTATTTAACAATCGGTTCCAGTAATGAAAGAAAGAAATTTTAAAACTTTCAATATACTTAATTACTATCAGATCGTAAAAGGAAACTTTTAAGAAAAAAAGGTTTTATTTTTTAAAAAAAAGGAAACTTTTAAGAAAAAAAGTTTTATTTTTTTAACATAACGATCTAATCAAGTACTGAAAGAATCAAATTTTTAAAACTTTTAAATGTGCTCAATTTACTATCAAATTGTACATGAAAACTGAAAACATTACCTTCACTGTGGGAAACTCTGCCATTTCATAAATAAAATTCTTTGCATCATCTCGATTTCTCACAGCCTACAAAGAGAAAAAAATTGCCTTCAGTAAATATAAACATTGACCAAAAAGATGTGCATAATGTATGCAAGCCTTCAATATGTTATGCCAAGACATTGACAATTAAAATATCTATACTTTAAGTCAGTTATATTCACAGATGATTATCATATAAATAATGAATGGTCAGGACACAGGGAGAGTGATAACTATGTTACATATAAAGATGATAACATAAAATATAATCATACCTCTGTAATACCATATGAGTTTTCAACCTTTTAATTTAACTTTTATTTCACTATACTCACTTTACATATCAAAACTTCAAATTTTGTTAAACAATTTTCATATTACAGTTAAATACCACAAGTGTATCACAAGTGTATTTCTGAAGAATTTTTTTAAAGATGTTTTACTACAACTCTATGACAACTTCTTCACATATAAATAATTCAAAACAAGTGGAGAACAAATCAAAATTTTTATCCACTAAACATTGCAAAACAACATACACCTCTCTAAAATAGCACACACCTCTCTAAAACTTACATTCTAATTCTTAATTTAAACACTACTTCATCAAGTTTAGTCTGAAATACACATATATGTAAAGGACAAAATGTTGATAATCAAAATACTCACAGTATCTCCACTTTTATGTAGTAAACTTGGAAGAGTTCTCTCAACTGTGGTCATAGTGTCAGCTTTAACGAGTCTAAAATTCAAAAATATTTGAATTCATAACAATAATGTACATCAAAACGTGGAATGCTTTAAATTCACAATGTTCAAATTTCATGTTCTTTTTCCCAAACAATATATTTTTCCTTATTAGATTATAATAATTCATGATTTTAGGTCATCATCATTATTATCCAAAATTCAAAGTGTTGCTGAATAAAGTAAGATATTCTCAATTTTGCACACACAATAACTATGAATTTGTGGAGAAATTGATTCTCAAATATTAACGAAAAATTAATCTGATACAAATAAAACCAGTTCTTCAGTTATACACAGCAGCCAGCTCAAAATTGTTTCTTGTATAAGTTTATATTTGGTACTTTGTAGTCTCAATGAAAAGCTACATTACATTATTTTTTTATCTATAAGTTATAGTAAACTTAATACGAAATACTTTATATATAAAGATGCTGTGACACTTTCTCTGACCTTGAAGGTCAAGGTGACTCAGATGTCAAAGTAATATTTCAATATTGCAAAATAAAAGAAGTAAATTTGCTAAGCAATATCTAAATTAACACAGAGATGACGTAAGAAGAAATGAGTACATTTTTCGTTGAGGACTTAATCTCATGAACACTAACGATATCATATGATAAAGAGATTTAAAATTTACTATTCACATTAATATAGTGCAGGCATATGACAGTACAACATTCATTACAGTTTATACTATAGTGTATAACAATATCACTTACTTGTGTTTGTTTATAAATTCAGTGAGTATCATTTTCAGCAGCATTAAACCAGCTTTGAACACCTGTAATCATAAACACATCAGAACTGACAATACATTTGATGCGTGATTTTATCACAAGACACATGTATTACAATGCTAAAAGAAAAGTACTAGTATTTTATTTTCTCATTTACATTTTCTTCCTTTGGTTTGATTACTTTAAACATATTTATTATCTATGCTACATGTGCTAGATTGCTAAACAAGTTCTTGCAACTTATATTGAACACTTTTAAGTCCGTTTCCTGGAACCAACCAGTATCCAGGTGTCATATGAAGAAACATGGATGATTAGGGCTCAAATGTGGATCAATGGGTTGAGAGGCAGACACCTTAATCACAAGGCCACCACCACTCCCCATTTGATTTGAAGTCACACTGAGCCAGAGTGTAAATGTCATGCTACAACTTTCCAGCTATTCTGGTGAAGTGCTCCTCTGATCATCATTTCTAGTACAAGCAGGCACCCAGTACAAACATGGCCAGTTCTACTAGGAGAACAACCTTAATTCATTGCTTTTTCTAGCTATATAACACCAAATCAAATTGAAGAAAGGTTATATAACAAGATATTATGACCAATACAATTAATGATAACAAAATCACATGAAGAAAACTGGTTTAAAAAAATTATCAAAATAATTGATTATTTCAAATGTGTATCGATTATTGATCGACAGAAAAATATCAATGATGCATCGATATAATTTCTATCGATGACAGCTCTATTAATAATTAACTACATTAATGATCATAAACATTGATCACTTACAGCATAGACTTTGTCAGTTATTGCTTTCTTGATAAGGAAGAGAGATGCTCGAAGCATGGTACGTGCATCGTCTTTATTTCCCGTCGATAATTCCTGCATCTGTTTATATACAGCCAGTAACGCATCTTCTCTGTACGACCAGGTCTTTGAATAAGCTTTGGATACCTGTAAAGTAACAGAACTTTATTTTAAAGCATGAAACAAAAATGGTTAACTTAAACAGTGCAGACCTGATAATCAGATAGCAAAGATGTGTCGGCTAATCTTGATCTGCACTGTTCACATGGGTTAAATCAGTTCCTATCAGCAGGCTACCCCTTAATAAATAAAGTTTAATCTCAAACAATTGAATACACACAGATATTTTCTAGGAATAAATTATGTCTTCTTTAAAAGCCATTATCCAATACAACCAATTCAATATGAGGCTCAAACCTAACAATGAGTATAATGAATAGAGAAATACTGACCAGAGGTTCTCCAAATACATCAACAGCAGCAGACGCTTCTCTCATATCCTTCTCTGACAGGGGTTCAGGTTCACCGGTTATACCCCCAACGGCTGAGTCCGGTGGTGGCTCTACGGGATCCTCGTCCGGTACAACCGATGGTCTAAAATAATAACATAGAAGTACATCTTATTTGAGGAAATTTTTACACGTTAAAGTAAAGATGATATTAAACTTATTTTATGATAAAGACTCAATATAATAATTGAGCACATCTTTTGTCGTTGAGGGCTATTAAAAATTTTATCAAATTTATTGTTCAACTATTAATTGTTTATAAGTACCAAAAGGATAAGGAAAATTTACAGAAAGGTAAATATTTGCTATGAGATACTTTTATCTTGAACAATACAATTTATTTTATCAATTTTTCAAGAGCTGAATTTATCATCAAATCATTTTTTTCAAGCTAGAAAAGAAATCAAAAGCAATAAAATACTTGATTACAGTTACTTTTAAATTTTGAAATTTGTCTCCAATGTAAGTCTTGATTGATATACCGTAGTAATAAAATTAAACTCATTTTGTGTAATACATAATTAATAGGAAATACATGTTAAACAGAAATTTTGTGAACATGCAGGCACATGAATGCAAAAACAACATGTAACGGAAACTAGTAAAATTATTTATCATGCAAATGCTTGAAATTATCTTGTTTTAAAAAATGCATGCAGTCTTTGATAATTTAAGCAAATGTTATAGTAAATATATTAATGATGCTCATAAAATTGCATGCATTATATAGCTATCTAGAAATTTATATTTAATTTATAACTTATTATAATGGTGAAAATGACATCTGTTGGTGTTTTAATGACCGGTAAATAATATGTGCTTTATTTAATTTAACTCAAAGTTATATCAAATTAACCAAATATTGGATCTAATTTACTCAATGCTACAACAAATAAACCAAATGTTACATGAATATAACTCTAGTTTACATGTAATTAACTCAAAGTTTTATTAAATAAACAAATGTTGAAAGGAAACCCTATGTTGCAACAAAAAAAAAACTCAAAGTAACATCAAATGTATATATATATTAATATGACTACACTATTTCTAAACAAAGGGTAAAGACATAATACTAACAAAATAAACAATATATTTGAACAACGTTGTTCACTGTTTGACAAAAATAATCTTTAGTTATCTTCACTTCGTTTAATATAAGAAATACTTGAGATTATATTTATCAAGTGTGTATCAAATTTAAGGCCTAAACTAAAATATGTATTGTTTTCCCTCCCGCTTCTTACTCAAATCACTGCGGCCTTATCATTTTATCTTTTTTGCCAATCATATATTGTTTTCTTTTAAAAAACATGAAAGCAAAATCTGTCAATCAAAATGATATCTTCAAATCTGTGTCGTGTTTTGCCTTTGTAAATATACAAACTTGGTTTATATGTTGAATAACACTTTAGTTCTAGTCTTTATAAATATGTTAAGCATACCATTCCCACATTGAAGTTGGTAGCGGCAGGGGAAACAAAATAGTTCTAAGACTGGCCTAAATGCATGTTATTGTGCTGAAAATACGTCGCTTTCAAATGTTTAAGATCAAGCTTGTTGTAATGAATTAAGAATGATAAATATAGTCTCATTGTCACAAATTTATTCGGTGTTAGTATTATATTATTTTTGTATTTAAGATGTTTAAAGCTATACATATACCGACAGTAAAAATAATTAAAATTTAAATTTTGAAAACTTATTCTTCGAAAAAACCTGACAAATATGTTTGTGTATTTCCTGAAGAGCGAATGGCGCATTTTCAAAATATAAAACAGTATAACACAGGATGGTATTTTGTTATGTTTATGAACAATATAATTATATGTGTTAAGTAACAGAAACATTAAATGTAACAGTTTTTTTACAAATCGATCATAAGGTTATCAAAACAACAACATTTCACCCTTTAATATAAAGTTTCTAAAAATATTGATAGCTTGGTACCCTTTCATCAGGACTTTTTTCTGGGATATCAAGTTGTTTGTTATGTTTATGATATTAATGCATTTGTTTAAAATGCTGATTTTTTAACTAAATTTATTTTACAAGTCCAAGGGAAAGGCAACACATTTTGAACTTATTTTGCAATTAATCTTTCAGATTTAAAAAGGGGTTGCTCAATATATTTAGCATCACATACTTTGTGTTGTTCATACAATAATTTTATCGCGTGCATTAATAAACTTTATATTCGACAAATGAACTGATGTGATAAAAACATTGTTGAAAACTTAACGGTCATAATATCTTACTGCTATTTTTATAACATCATATGAACTTTTTGTTAAAGGTTAAAATTTTAACTAGAGTTGCAATATACATGTATTTTCAACTACGTTGTTATTGTAAAATAAATACTTTTAATGTTGATAACCTTTTTTATAGAAAAGCATTTTGATATTGAATTTCGAAATATGCGGTAGGGATTTTAATGTAGGTTGGTTATTCCAATTTAAATGGCACATTCCAATGCCTACAAAGATAATCTATCAACCTTTATTACAAATTTAAATGTAGCGGGATATTGTTGTTTATTACTTTAAAGCGGCCTTTAATTTTTATTTTCCGTCGGAAAAAAACAAGTATGTGTTTTTTCAAATTATGTTTTTCATTAATTTCATCGTGGCAAAGTACATCATTGTTAAACTTTTTTTAAAGAAGCGTCCCGAGAGCTATTTATAACGCATAAGTGACGTTCGTTTTCAAATATTTTTTCTAAAAATAGAAGATCGGGAAACGAATCGTCCTCTTTACTATTCTAAATATAAAGAGCGGACCAAAAAATAGAGGCAGTGTGGGATTTCCTTATTGTTTATGTATTCATCGTCGGTAAATTTTTATCTTCAACCCTAATTATTTCATTTAACAATTATGTGAGACGATTTATCTGTTTAACTTTTAGAAAACCTCAAAGCCGCTTTAAAGCGGTAAAGGTGTTTAATGCAATTAAAATGTATGGTAATTTAAGAGAAGATTGGCGTTAATACTATTTACATGCTGTTTTAATTTTCATGAACCCAAATTTATCTATCATAATATACAAATTTTACCTAATTCTTCTCAAAATATTTGATAATTTTTTGGTAGCTCTACTCAGGCGCCCGTTCGTGCCTGAAATAATGCACGGAAGGGCATCTGAGGTCATCCGCCATCAGTAAAGCTGAAAAAATCGCGATATAACCTATACTATGTTAGTGCACCGTAAAACCTAATAAAAACAACAAATCTATCAATAATTCGTATTATTTCTAAATTGTAAGTATAAATACAATAGTAACTTTAAAGAGATAACGATATTTAACTTAAGTTTCTATATCCTTAAGGTCACGCGCATCTCTATATAAAATGGACCAGAAACATAAAATATATTGTATTTTCTATGCTGCGTGACATAAATAATTGCTAGTATATCAATCTTAAATGGGTTACGTTTAACATATTTCCCTATGGTAATAACTAAGAAGAAGTTATGTGTGACTAGAAGTAATGCTAAATAGAAGAAATACATTCATTTAAGGAATATGTTTTATGATATAACGACATGCATACAATATATACCACAAACATCATGCTACAAGTATATTCCAAAACGCTCATAGCGATAATTCACTTTGAGGTCAATTCAACAAATAAATAACTGAAGTTGCATTCATTTTTGAAATGCATATACATTCGTTTAACTTCTTATAGCACTTTAATTATTAGTTAGAATGGAGAATGACACATTAATCTTATGGACTGTTAGGAAGTGACTATAAACTCGCTCATGTTTCATTTTTAATACATTACATATTTACTCATCCGAGCTTCACCTAAATGTTTTCTTATACAGGTGTATGGCTATCTCGTTGAGAGCACTTATGTTATCGACACCAAATACTTGTCAGTTTTCTACAATAATATGTGTGTTATGAAAAAGTCTTTGGCTCGAAATGTATTCTAGTCTGCCATCCCTTCATTAGAAGTAAGACACCATAGCATCCAGGCAACCGCTCCGGCAACACTAACATAAGGGTCTGAGTTATATTTAAATAATTGTTGGACCTTTATCATTTTGATCACTTAATAATAGATAAGGCTTTACTAGTTGACCTTTCATTTAAAAGTTACTTATTAACACATCATATTAGTTTGCGTTTAAATACTTCTTATCTCGCGTTGGTTTATCCAGATTTTAAAGTCCTTTATGTGCATCAATGTATAAAATATGTGATATTTAAAACAATGAAAACATTATCGCTGCATTTCACAAGTTTGTGCCTATTTTTTCATGGACGTCTCGTGCTTGTGGATACGGAAAACAACAACGAGCCGAATGTGATAGATTTACGACTCCCCTATGTCAGAGTTCCTGAAACAAAAACTTACTATGTTTGTCAGCAATTTGAGGTAAAAGCTTTCTTATGTATTCAGTTATTTTTCATCTAGTTATCATTTGATTAAAGTAGTGGTGATAAATGAGCAAAGTCCTTACAGTCGTTGATCTTTGTCACCTCTAGAATATTACAGTTACTTTTAAGAGGTCATTTATTCAGTTCGTGTTTTCTGTAATACTGTATGGCCATTTAATTACGTATAGTAGATTTTTTGTGTAAAGCACGTTCAAAGTAATAGCTATAACACATGTATGCCTTTCCGTTTATTATAATACTTTCACACTTTCATACAGTAAATTAATCAAATTATTATTTAAATGACACTCTGGTTCGCAATGTATATGTTTTCAAATATTTTTTTTGATAGATTACGTTGTTTGAATTATTTGTTTAAATGAACTTTGCTTAACGCGCCATGCCTCCAGATTCATGATATTTTTTCCTAATATATTTGAAATGTATTTTAAAGATACATATTGTATTGAGAACAAAGACAATAATTTATACATTGCAATAGGTGCTTACGTTACCAAAAAGGGATCAAGGTATAAACAAAGCCCTTACTGCATAATTCATGCAGTTTAAACTTTTTGATAAATGCTGCTAAATAAGTTACTAAACACACAAAACCGTTTATTAGTTTTCCTTTTTTACAAGCTTAGTATACTTTTTTGTTTGTCTTGAAATATTCTCGTACATCTTGAGGCATGGAGCTTTAAACCGGATTTTCCTTTTAATCGAAATTAAAATGTAAATTAATATATTACCAAACGGAAAAGTGATTGTTTTCTTATATTCGTTGATTTTGGTAAGGGTTATTCTTTTGACTGAGGAACAATTTGAAATTATGAATACTAGTGAAACATGTACGTATGTACGTCATTAACATTCATTTTGTTAAACATTTGCCTTTATTAGGTCAAAGATGACAAGCCATATCACGTGATTAGATTTGAGCCAATCATAAACAATACTGAGATCATTCATCACATGCTTGTATTCGGATGTGAATTCGAAATGGATGACAAGGTAATAAAGATATCTTATATTAATAAGCAAGCAAACACTTCACATGAAATGAATACCATGCCCAATAATGAACTTTAATTAATAAATATAGACT